CACATTGTGGATGTTTCAGTAAGATGTTTTATTTCTCCGACGTGCTTTTACGACCGGCCAACTTGGAACATATTTTGCTGATTCTGTGATGCGGTTCAATTCATTTTTCGTTTCGTTCCTGCTTATTTGTTTTATTTATTATTTTATTTATTTATTTATATTTATTTGATTTAACGTGATCCGACGAAGAGTACTTTTAATGCATCTGATTGACCTCACACAAACTGAGCCGATCCTACAAAAAACTACTGATTTTCAGACTTGCCCCAACTGTATAATTACTTTGCAATTTTACGCCATACTTCCTCCGCAAGAGAGTACAGGTTGCATGGATTTTATTTGACCTACATGCGCTGAGTCATAGAACATCGGGTCGAGAAAGAAAGCAATGCGTCACGAGCTACACCTCAAAATTATACGAGAAAGATTATCAATACTAGCCAGTTCTCACCTTGACGGGCTTGGAGTGTACAAGCGTTTGAGGGCTTATTCCAAGATAAAACAGTACGCATTTTATTCCTCACAAAATCAGTGTGCAACTAAACGATTGTACACCCGGAAGAAAGACAGTTCTAGCTTTGAAACAAACAAGAAAATACATGATGACTCAAGTAAGAAGCTTTTGTGGCGAATCAGTGTTCTTCAACATTCGACTACAAAGTATTGCACCAGTGAAAAGCTAAATAACCTTTGTAGCTCATGAGCTGATGATATGAAAGCTAATACATATATGTATACATGTATACCTGACGTGAAAGCGATTCAGGTGACATCGGTGCCAGTCAGACGACAGCGCTTGTCTCCGGAATACAGACAATAATCGCTGCTTGAAGATAACAAACAAACATTCGAGGATGTGATGGTAAATCAGAGCACACTGGGATTTTCCAGTCAACACCACACCAGAATTTTGGTAGCTCCTTACTTACGTTGACGTGCTTACATTTATGGGGTGAAATTTTTAAACAAAGCGAAAGACTTAGATTTTACCGCACACACCTGGAATAATGAAAAAATACCTGTGGCAATGATAGGTCTCAGTGTCCACTAATGCCACTGGAGCGAATTCTTCAGTCTGCTCAAGATATTCTACTGTGTAGTGATGTGGTTCACGGAAGTCCGCTGTGTTAGACTTGAGTCATGTGTTTTTTTCTAAAACATTTGTTTGTGACCTATCTCACAGACGGCGCCGAGTATAAATTGACTCAACCTTGCGAATGAGGCTTCAGTCAGACCTATGGAAATCATGAGCACGATCACTTTTAGCATCGTCGTCCTCAAGATGTTCAACTCAGCGGATTCAAGTAGGTTCAGTGGGTTATTTTATGCAGCGTTCCTTGCGAAGGCCACCGAGCAAGACAGCTCCGACATTTCAACCGTTCCGAATGCATGGTCTCTTTGAAAATTCATGTCGGAGAAACCACACTGGTCGAGCAAACATGAAGTCATGGCTAGCGATATTTAAGTGAGACTCATTAGGTGAAAACACTAGGAATGTTTTATGGTGTTCTTCCCTTGGGTCTACTTCTTGATCACAGGAACAATGCCTCCTGTTTGATCATTGGATAACGCTTGTGTGTCACACTATGAAGTGAGAATTGCTTTCCAAAGGAGCATCAAGCATTGGGCAAATATTTTCGAAAACGAAAGCGGACCAGGAGCGGATATACCCAAACAGCCATAAAACGAAGGTTCTGTCAGTTGTCTTATCCGAATATAGGCCAAGCTCTATGTAGTGTTTTTGCATCTGTTCGTCCCTTGCTTGCTATTTGAAAATAGTTTATAGCCATGTAATGCCACTTTGTTTTCCCTTGTTTTTCGCTATTTGTCAGGGGCATATCTTTACCAGATCCCGTAGGATTTATAGGTGATAGTATTTGAACACACAGCCTAGGAGCGGAAGTTCCAGGACTCTTTTCCGACGGAAAAGAGTCACTATAGTGTTATCCACGCACCGAACTCCAGCTAATAAATGCGTGATCAAGCTAAACATTGTTGAACATGAAACCCGGTAATATCGACTGTGATTCTTGATGTAGTATTTTTATCTTCTGTATTGCACTACTCATGAGGTTGCTGAGGCGATTTCAGGATTTCAGATTTAATAAAATTGCTGAAACCTCTTCAGCAACCTTATGAGTAGTGCATTACAAAACATTTATGTATCGCGATATCTCGAATATCGTAGTGACTGAAACATGAGGCGGCCTGGTGCAGCACCTTCAGTTGCCTGGAAACATCAAAACCAAGAGATTTAGCTGGGTTCCAGGCGAGTCTCTCGTAAAACCAAATTAGTTAGCAAATGAGTGTATATTACTACTTAAAGTCTCAAAAAGATACTGGAACTTATCGTGATGCAGCCGTTTGTGCGATCCATTCAGGTATACTGTGTGGATCCGTATGACATTCGCATAGTCTCTCACACCAGGTCTGTCAATGGTTGAAGCTCTGACCAACATAGTTTCCAGGATCCCCCAGGTGGTTGGTTGGCTTATGTGTAGTGACCCGCCCTGAAGTAATGGGATTACAGTTGCATTTTCAGGCAACTGCAGTTGGATTGAGTTAAGGTTTTCGAGTTAGAGGGTTATGTATCACACCGTAATCGTTTCATTGTCTGAACCTGACACTGTGGCGTTCGTAGGCGTGACTATAACAACCACACACGGTAATAATTCATAATACAACTTGATTTTATGCATACGGTGGCGATGATAATGTCTTGAAAGACTGAGTGGAGCGATGTGCTGGCATTCTGGACACTTTGCTCATCAATTATCTAAATCGGTCCTTAATTCTCAGACGACCAGAGACGGCAACCATTGTGGGCTAATACACCCACTTGATATGTGGGCTAGATACTCACTGCTAAGACTGCTTGTAGTAGAAGAACAAGCGAAGAAAGCACACTGCGACATTATTTGAAATGCCTCGGATATCTTGGTATGTTCTTGGATGGATGGTTGAAACCAACGACGAGAAGAAGCGTAGCCAGCAAAATAATGCTTGTTCACATCGTTCTCCATCTGTCATGCAGAGGATACAATGTCAGTCGGTTTCTCAATCAGAAACTCACAAGTTTGCTGACACAGCTCGCCGACAGGTAAACTTCACCAGCTAGTTTATTATCAGCCAGCGGTCGTAAGATATGCCACTTTGTCGCATCACTTCTGGATTCCTAAGTATCTACACAGCATTGCTCTTATCTATGTACATCGGTTTGCTTGCCTTGAGGACTTGCCATATAGATCGAAGGACAAGACTATTCTCTGTGTAGTTATACGGTTACATTCAATTTAGATTGGCGGACGGTCTCGATTGAAGCCAACCTAATACGTGTTCGCACCAAACAGACAATGATGCTTCCTTTAAAAGCAAACGCATGGATGTTGGGAACATCAGAAGCTGTCATGATTCAATCCAAAAACAATGACATCGCTTTAAGATACACTTCGTGTCTAGAGTGCTCTAAGCCTGACGATAGGGCGATTGCTTGCCAACAAGCTGAACCGATTAAGCTTGACGCTGTCAGTGATTCAGTATCAAAACGTGATCACAAAACCCTAATTGAAAAATACCTGATTTAGTCATATGACCCTGGTGTTACATTTCTAACCGGTTGATCTTAGCGGTCCAAGTATACGACCGGATGTGGTTACAAGCTACGAAAAGTAAACTTATTTGCAAATCACTTTGGTTTTCAAGTGAATCTCTCATTTATGATGTTCCTTGACTGAATATGCGGCACACAGGCCGTTTCATGTTTAAGTTGGTACGATATTGGAGATACCGCAGTATATTTTCATAAAGGAAACTACTCACAAGGTGACTGAGAACTCTTCGACCGGTTTCGTGGTCGCAGGCTGTCGAAGAGTTTTCAACAACCTTGTGAGTAGTTTCCTTTATGATTACAAGCTGTTCAAATGCCTCCCTCACGCGAGTACCTTACTCAAACGGATCTGTCTGAGTAATCCGCTTGATCCTTTAATATGAGAACGTGCTGATGATCTCGCGTTCATATTGTTCTTTCATATTTTTCATATTATTTTCCAATTTTCTTTTGTTTTTTTTTTGCAGCAAGTGGCGTAACCGTAGTGAAGTTCGACCCTGCCGACGGAATGCTGCATGTCGGAGATAAAACAGAAATCGCGTGCATTGGCGAGGAGGCTGAGGGTGGCGCAACAGGCGGAAGTTTGGTACTAACGGACCTGAGCGATCGCACCGACCTAATCTCGATTGACACTAGCTTGCACAAAATCAAGCCCCCTGCTGCTGGGACAACCTACACAAAATACGGCTCCACCATCGTCGAATGCAAATACGATCCAAATTTATCGCAGCTGCCCAATCTGGTGAAAACGCTGACTGTCCGTATTTCGCGTGAGTTGTTGTATGTTATACATGAATACATAAACACGATCTAGATGACAAAGTTGTATTTTAATACACAGACTTTCCATTGACAGCTCAGCCCCTGGATGGAACTTTGGACTCCGAGAACAGCGGAAACCCGGAGGTACCCGTGGGCTCCACCAAAGAATTCCAGTGCAATTTGGTCCCACTGGATGCCGCCGAAACCTTGAATGGAACATGGAAGGCTGTTGTGGACCCGGCGGGGGCAGCTGGCGTAACCGAGTCGCAAAACGGTAACTTTGGGAAGATAGGACCTCCTAATCCACAGGGCTACCAAAACCAGCCGAGCTCATTCAAAGTATCGTGTACATTCTCAACACCTGAAGGAACAATTATGCACACCTTTGAACGGACAGTGACAGTAACAGGTAAGTGACACGTTGAAATGAGTGCTTCAAGCGTATAATTAACTGATATTTTCACTTATCTGCGCAAGTTCACGGACCACGAAGAATTCCACCCCCGAAATGGTTACGATGACGTCATTTTCATAACCTGACCTTCAGTGTATTCCTAATGATTTTTTATTAGCGTGCTTTGTCTCTTTTTGAAGGAGACTTCGAAAATTAATCGTACAATGCGTGTGATTTTCACTCGGTCCACGCAGTCTGATGGCAAAGTTTTAACATTTTACAAATAGTGGGGTTTCATATTTCGTACCCTGTGTTAGCGGCAAGTCGGGAAAATATTTTACTCAATTTCTCGTAGGTCAATGCACGATAACAGTCTTTCCAAGCAATCCTGACGATTTTCGCAGCTAAGAAAGATACCACGAATTGTTGACCAAGGAATACGCCTGGCATCCAGTGCCGCATCTTTCACCCTCCTCCATTTTCCGACTGTAGCATTCCTCAGTTTGTGTAACGTGTGCAAATGTGAACAGACGATCGACCTGGATTGGACTCGTTACATTCGGACCATGGTGAATAATAGTTTCAGCTGTATGTTGGACAAAGTCTCTTTGTATGCAGTAGTATTATTCGAATGAGACGCTTGGCCACATGGTGTTTATTCATGAAAAGCCGAATACGAGCTCAGACTGATCGTGTCGCTATCAGTTACCCATGGCGTGAAACAGTAATCTTCCGCAGCTTCTCTTGGAAATTGTAGAATACACTCGTCCGGAGTCGCTTTTCCAATCGTGTTCTAGGGCCGCACAGGTTTCGTACAAATTGCTTAACAGCTAAACGACCGGCTGATCTGGATGTCAGAAGAATTTACCTGGGTCGTGTTCCAGGAACGAGAGTGACACCACTCTGGAGTCTCGTAAAAGTGGGACGCCTTTACTCAAGCGCTGTGTATCAGATTGAATAGTGACACCGCTAAATCTTGACTAAATACTAGCCGGTCCTTAAAATAACTTGACTTGAGGCATTGTCAAACGTCAATTAGAAGTAAGCAAACAAGCCGACCGTGAACTCTTCTGGACATGCAACTCCGAGGAAATGAAACAAACCCAGAAAGCCGTTAGTCCCTGAAGATTGTATCACTTGGTTCGTACGACAGGTCCTCGGAAACCAGTAGTGAGCACAACCAACAGGGATCGAAATTGAGTGAACATTTGAACAGCAACGAACGCCCAGACTATTGGGCCGAATAATTTGGACTGTGTTTATCATTTTCTACTGGAGACTATGGATGATGCACAACCCGGAACGGCGAACGTGGAACGCCCTACGACCTTGGAGGTTTATGACTGCATCTGGTCTCGAGAGCGCCACTGAACCTCTGATCTTGTTCAAAGATAGGGCTGAAGTCCTCAGTCGACGCTTATCTGTGTCTGTCTGTCTGTGTGCATTTCGGGGGAGACATTTGAGCAGAGTTGGTGACGGCAGATTTTCAGAAAGCGGACCGTAGTGGACGCATTAACCACGGAAGAATCAACTTGACACCAGTCGCAAAGAGGCTGATGGTATCACTTGTGGTCCGTCGCTTTGTTGTGACTCGTAATATACTGACTCGATAGCAGCAAGCAAGGGGCTAAATTAGAAGGGCTGCTCTAATCAGATCTGCCCACTAAGTTAGGTGCCAGAATAACAACATACAGATGAGTCAGAATTTTAATAGCCCTTTTTTCTAGGCGCATTGGACTCAATTGACCGGTGTGTTCTCTTTGACACGCTTTCCCGTCAGGACATGCCCTGGAAGTTTGTGAACGTAACGATTTTTTCTTGTATTCAAATACTTCCGGACGGACAGCTCGCCGAATGCTTCCATACACAGCGTTGTTCGTCATGCTGGCTCACTCTCATCATTCAAGTTCAACTTTGAGAACAATGATATCAAATGGCCTCTGGAAAAGACTTTGACAAACCGTTCTTTTCTCGGAAGTGGAAAGAAAGCTGAAGGATTTTTGAATGAACTGTACTGTATGAAGACTTCACCCACAACAATTGGGGCCATCCTCCCGGACATGCAGTAAACCAGTCCAAGGAGAGACACTCAAACTTGTGGAGCGCTGATGTATCTTGGAAAATGTGTTATCTGTGATTATAGTGAGACAGGTAAGGTGAGTTCACAAAGCTGCAATCATCGGGTGGCGTTTGCTAATTTAAGGCACCTATGTTGGCAAAGCAAACGAAGGGCGAGATTTCCGTCGTGTACCTGAGATTTCTGTTGAAAAATGTGTCCAGAAACAGATGGTGCGTTGGTTGGGCGATGTACTGCGCGCACGTAAACATCGGATTTGCGGGCTGTGTTGCATTCTCGATCCAGAGTGACGGAAACAGAACCCTGGAACAGACTCTTCACCTTAAAGGGGATAGGTGATTGATCCCGAAACGTTTGGGTGATTTCAGCACTGCTGACGTTCCAGGATGGGAACCACTTTTCAAAAGCTGCAAGTTATTAATATAAATGGTTTCGTTGGTGTCATTTTCTATCCAGATTGCTCGACTGGGTGTGTAGACCGTAGTTAGCTTACACCATGTCGCTTTCCCGTCCACCTTTTCCTCACAATAAGGCTTTCAAACAAACTAAGGTAGGTGTTACGGCGGCGAAGCACCGGTGTTGAACACCGATGTCATGCTGTGACTGGTGACGGTGATGATGAATGTGGCGAAATTTCATGACTTGTCGCTCAATGTTCCATGGTTTTTGTCGGCCAAACTCCGGCCGTTTACCGATCCTGTATGCTTCATTGGAACTTTACTGCCTGGGACCAACGTTAAATCAGACATCCGATTTGCTCTTCGTGAGCATCTGTCTTGCAAAACCCCCGGGTCAAATTTGTACAGTTTGTCTCCACAAACCTTTAAGCATGCTAAGATATTCTCCATACTTGGCACTACAGAATGACACCAGACAAGTTGGTCCCAGATGCCAAAACCTTCAAAAGACGAAAACGCGAAGTTGAGCTGTGGGACGATCAAATAGCACAATCAAAATAATTCTGAAGTGAAGCGTCCGCAGGATTCATGTAAACTGACTCTGCGCTTTTGTGGGCACAATTGACTCCTCACGGTCTTTTGAGTCGTACATTCGAAATTTTCAACCGTAATCACAATCACTGGTGTGCGTGCTCACTGATCTAATAACCATTGGAAACCGTGTAACATAGAATTGGATAAATTAAGGCTTTCGGATTTGGGAACATGTGAAAATGCACGACTCAGGTGCAGCTACCGGGATTAGGGTGTTTTCGAGAAATTTCGATGGATATCTGATGGCTAAATAATTATGTGGTGCCTGGTCCTCATTGCCATGATGAATAATGTTCGAATGGTTCGAAGTTCGATTTTCCGTTTTCATCCGAGTAGTTTTCTGAAGAAAGTGTTTCCGTGAGTTCTAACAAACTAGAGAGCTGGACAAAAATCAACACACACACACACTACATTTAAAATGTAAGTGATCCAGATGAAGAACTTTCGTTTTCAGGAGGAATGGGATTGTATTGAATCACGCATTTCGTCTAAATCACCCATGAAATATCCGTAATGCACTACACACAAGGTTGCTGAAAATTCTCCGACAGCCCACGACTAGTTTTGCCCTTCTTGGGGCTCATCAGGTAGGCGCAGTCCCCGAGTTTCCGTCAACCGCATGTTCTACTTGAAAGCGAAATGCATGAAAGTAGCGAAATACAAACAAATTTGGTTTTGCGAGAGAGTCACCAGGAACGCAGCTAAATCTCTCATTTATGCCGTTTTCAAGCAACTAAATGTACTGCACCAGGCCGCCTCACATTCCGTTTGCGACGATATTCGAGATATTCGTAATACATGTATCGACGTAATACACTACTCATAAGGTTGCTGAAAATTCTTCCACAACCCACGGCCGGTTTCGCCTTTCTTGGGGCTCTCGCAAAACCAAATTATTTGCAAGTAAGTGTATTTTGCCATGAAACTATCCGGTACCTTTGAGTGATATCTTTCTAGACAACCGATTATTAGTACCCAAATTTCGACTCGATAAATGCTCGTTCCTCACATATTTTTCCTTGCATATAAATTTTCATTTGTTGTGCTCAACGGAATCAACTGATGCAGGTAAATACGGCTTTGGTTGGCGTTTATTACATACTCAGAGGTTATGAGAATTGCCCAGCATAGGAGAATGTGTTATACTGATACATGGATTTAGCAATGAAGCTCAGCTGGCTATGTCCTACGGTGTGTGACAATCGCTGGCTAACTTTCGACGGAAATTATAATGTCCTTTTAACAGCCCTCGGAATATGGGATCATAGCTACTCGGCAAATTTCTTAAAAGTAAGGTGAAGCTCCTCAGATAATATTTCCCCAAAAAAATCACAGAAGCAAATTGTTGTCAGTGAAACAATGAGTCTCACTAAGGATGGCGAATGTCGTACAGTCAAAAGATCAACAGGTCTTGGTTGAAACGGCATATTCAGAGGAACGGGAAGGTGGAACACCGCCAGAAAAAGAAAGAACCTACGGTCCCTCGTTGGGGGTACAGAAATGAAAAGTTGACCAGATTTCCCAGATAACCACCTTCAACTCCGATTCTGACTTGAGGGTTGTTTCGGGTCACTTCCATCGCCACCGTGATCGAGGCTCCTACAAAAGATAAGGGCACATAAATCGATAAACCTGGTCGCATTTTGTTCAGCTATTTGCCAGGAAACATCATTTTGAACACTGATGATCTACAACTCGAATTTGTAAACCAGAAATCTGAGTAGGCTTAATAACCGACCTCCCAGCAACCGCAATCACATGCACAACTCAGTCCATCGATTCCTTCAGGTGTATGTTTCTCCACCCAGAACTCTACGATCAGGAGTAAGTGGTAAACTATACCGTATGCTCTCCGTCTTCTGCCGTATCATTCAGACATCGTCTAAATGGTTCTTGCGTTCTCCCACACACAGGTATCTCAATAAGACCATTGCTGACAAGTCACCTTGCAGTCAGCTTAAACATACTTCTCTGGATCATCTGCTAACCGCATGGATGATGTTGCGGTCAACCCTGTACGATATGCCGACTTTATTTCGCCATAGCTTATCACTTCAATGCGCATCGTCAAACGCCGTGAGTATTGCAGGGTCATTGGATAATCGATGATTAATTTTTTCGTCTATTAACTGAGTACGCAATACCATTTGATGGACAATGCAGCAGGCTCCATCATACTTGAGCGACGCTGAATAACTCGCCTCTCACAAAATACCCTGTTTTTTCCTAAATACAGCTTGATGTGTTATTTATTCTGCCTGACCGGAAGGTGGGACTTTTTGTGACGTAGAATGATCAGTTGCAGAAACTGCACAGATTCGTGGGTATCTTGTATTAGCCTAGAGAACATGCCCCATTAACACTAGCCACAGCTTTGGCAATGGTTTCCACATTCTTCATCGAGTTCCACGGGGCAAATATCTTTATATCTGCATTCCTCTGAGCTCTGAAGACAGTGTGGAACGTGCGGTAAATGACTGAACTACCGCAGTTTTGTCGCTGGTAAAGCTTTCTACGTAAAAAAAATAGACTCGATTTTTCTAAATATCTCTGCGGGCTCACTGTCTTCAGCGCAAACAGGCTGCGGTTCCAAGACAACGAGTACCAATGACAAATTTTCGTTCCAGGGCTGCCATTCAAAACAAAACTCATTACCACAAGGTGACATCTGTCGTTTCTCGAAGCATAAGCCCTTGGGAATGGCCGACTTGCCTCAGAGGTATGTCGCATGTTGGGAAACAGGATCTGGGACACTGGGACAGGCCTAGAAATTTCACTAATCGCATGGGTTTTTGGAGCACTTTTGGTTCGGATATACCATTGAAAGGAAGAAGGCCAACTGACCGGTTACAGACCATTGAACAGGGAAGCAAAACTCTAAGCTGCATCTTAGTTACAAAAACTGGACATCGATCTTTTCCCGAACGTGTCTTCTTCAACTTTCCTGGAGATTCATTGACTCCACCCACTCGTCGGCTAAATCCAAGCAAATGTTACAAACTGGCTCCACGAATTCCGCAACAGATCTCCCTTTTTCAATAGACGCAGAGCGAAATTCTACAAACAACACATGCTACTCGCGTGCCTCCCCATCAGTAGTATCACCGTTACACCATCACTCAAGTGTAAGAGTACAACTTGGGCGCGTTAAGTTCAAAACTGTTGTGGCACTCATTGCTTTAAAAATCTGGTAGGGGGAAGAGACAATCCAGTGAGGTGGAATTCATCTTGGCTATCCAAGACTCCCAAAAATGTTGGTCACATAAACAGTTGTTCTATCGCCTTACATATAGCGAAGTCCTAGTCAACACCCCACAACGCCAAAATTTTACTTACTGTTCTCACCTAAGGGCTTCAGATGACACATTCCGAAACTTAGTACGGAACATGGTGAAAGGAGTCGGTTGTTCATACGCACCTAATATAATCCAAGTCGAGTACCCATTTGGTAGAGCAACCTGAGTGACGTCATCACACGACGGCCAATGTGACATGAAATTATTTCCGTTCGCGTAATTCCTAATTGCGGCCTGGAATGCTGTCCAAAGCTAGATAACCAGTCACTTGGAGACTTCAATTGAAACGCTCGATCCAAAGGACCGAACAAACGGCCACACGGTATAGGAACGCCGTCACTTACCTCTGTTCTTGATGTACACTTCATACATGTTTCTAAGCCCAACACGTCGTTCGACTTAGTGTTCCAAGAATGAACACAATCCGCCTCAACTAGACCATTCGTTCTTATTCTGCGTTTGACGATCCTTTAGTTGTTCCGATTTCTTGCGATCTTCAGCTCTTGTCCAACTGGATAAATGCCAGGTGGACATACATCTGGTTCAATCTTGGCAATATCAATTCAAGGCAGTCAAAGTCGCTTGACAAAGCGTTTTTTTTCATAAAGGATCCTGAAGAACGTGTACCAAACAATCACCGTGAGTGAGAAAAGAGGACTGGTCTTTATTCTTCACGATTGAGCAAAGTAAACATTCCTCCCCGGGAAATGGTTTAGGCGTAACAGTTGCTCCAGTGTGGTAAACACAAGCAATATTATATATACATATATATTTGTAGATGTATATATATAGGTAACTATGCTGGAATCTCAGACGGTGGGGAATAATTTTTATCACAAATTGCATTGTGTCTCAATTCCCCCATACTCCACCGACTACCATCAAACTGAGATAGTCCTACAACCATTAGTTGGAACTATCAGTCACCCTGTGTGGATAGTCCTACAGGCCATTAGTAGAACTATCAGTCTACCCTGTGTGCTTACTAAATCCTGGTTGTCACCATCAAAAGCAAAGTAAATTTGTTTAGAGGATCAGGTCTCAATTTACAAGTCACCCTGCTAACTTCATCTCTCAGAAATTTGTTCACACGAAACACTTTTGAGATGTCTGGCAAAAATCAAGAATAATAAAAGACGACCTCCGTGTTACTTGCATCAAAATCCCGAGACGAGTTGGCCAATACATTGGCAAGGGATTCACAATCCCTCCTGTCATTGGAGCGGGGAAGATTTCACTCTTTTGGGGAATGATGCTAAAACCACCGGCAAGTTAAAGGATTTGCAGAGGCCAGCAAATTGAGGAGCCAAGAACAATCTTCGAAATTATGTGATGTGAAAGATATAATCAACATATAACATAATCTAATTGCGTGAAGAGACTACCTAATTTCAATGTGCTTTGAGTGAATGATGATAAGGTCATCGATTTGATTCCATATATTGAGAATTTCGAGATGGCTCGAGGGCGCAAACATACTGAATGGAAGGTCCATGGTTCGAACCTTACCTCTACATCTCGACCGACCATATCAAGGCTTAGATAACCAAGTAATATATCAGCTTGACACCAAACGGCTCCCCGTCTCCCTCACGCCAGTTCAAAACTAAAGCGTTCTGTTTCTTCGAACGATACCAAAATCTGTAAATACGTTGAAGTATCTAACAGTGTTATTGAAGGTATACAATTGTTTATCATCTTGGTAACGAAGGTCACCTGTGCATTGTGGTTATCGTCCATATAGGTTCATTCATCACAGCGATAATTTCGTCCGAAGACTCAATTTTTCGCTGGAGTCGCCTGCATTGTATGTTATCCAGGTCCCCGTTCGACGTGCTATACCATCAGGCTTTAACTGTAGCGAACTCCCGATCTTCACAGATTAATTTGGAACTCAACACCGAGCGTGTCCACTTTCGACTGGCTGCTACGCGCACATGTTTCATCACAGTGATGCGACATTCGTTGGGCGAAAGGTGCGCTTCTATAGAGGGTAATCTCAAGATACAAGTGATTGGAAAACAAGAATCCTGGTGTTATATAACTGGATTTAATTGAAGGACCCTCGCATTGTCCTGAATAAGAAGGAAACACCAGTTGACGGAGTTTGCACACAAGTCAGTATCAATGACAATCTTCAACTAGTCGATTAAATATGGTCTTGTGGGCACACTCTCTGAGCACTGAGCTTCGTTGATTACCGCATTTGGGAATTAAAGTTGAACGCCGGGCGCTGAACGCGCTGCTTCCCTCTTTCCTACATTTTCCCCGCCAAACTCGCAGAAATCGAATGTCTCCGAAGGTATAAATTCGACTCGATGGTTTGTTTTATCACTTAGATGAAGATGACGGTGCCGCATTGGGTCACATTTGCTCCGATTAGCACGACACAACCAAGTGGTAATCCCATAATGAAAATCGTGTAAAAAGTATCTGATGGTGATTTCTCAGATGAATCAACAACTTCTCGTCACCATAAATAAGATACCAGGCTTGGAATTTGTTGAATCCGTCTTTTGGCAGCACGGCGACGAGTTCCTCAATCGTATTACGATTGTAATCAAGCGGTCGTTTGGGTGGGAACTTGAAGTCCTTATAGTACTATATGGTTAAAGTCGAACGACTCTCTTAGACAGGCCGCTTGACAAGAACGGTCGAGAAATCGGGCGACCTACTCAGTTCAATTGTGCTCTGGGAACAATACGCTTGGTGACTTGTTGTGCCGTGGGCCCAAAATATTCTGCTGTTAATAAACTGAAAACGACCTTTGAGTAATTTGAATAAAATGAGTAACGTGTGCACACATTTCTAAGTTCAGAAAACGATTGGTTATATTCCAGAAAAGGGAAGTTTCGAATGCGTGCAACAAGTCGCACTGATGGCGAATACTCAAATTTATTCAAACTCTCAGCAGCGTGCACTTAACGGAGATGTTTGCTGGGAGGTCAAATGTAATTTTGAGCATAGAACTCCAAGCGGACACACATCCTCTTACTAGTTTTTCCTCTTTAGGAGCTCAAATTAGGAGTTCTGATATCGGAATCTTGAAAATCCTGACGGCCAACATGAACACAAAGATGTCTAGTAAACACAAGGTCTAGTTTTCTAACCAGCTAATAACAAGTTTCTGAGAGATTTTAAAATTTTCCTTGTTACCAGAACGGAACTGTTAATTGCCAAAAAAATTTCGTCTTAACTACGGACTGATCGATTCTGATCAATTCTCACATTTTGCTTATATTTGTCGTCATCACATGTTCAGCCACCAGATTGCATCGTGCTGAGCCCCTATTGATTTATCAT